CCGGGAGGGCAGGGGCAGGGTCCTGGGGACCCCGGCCTCGGCCCCGGAGGACTTGGCGCGAGGGTTCTTTGCCTGAAACGTCGCCTACGCGATTGTGGCGGTGTTGGGATTTCGGTCTGACATAGTGTGCTGCTTTTAAATTCAGCAGTGCTTTGCCGTGCCCACCGCCCTACAGAGCATTTACTTTCCTGGGGGCAGCCGGCTGGCTGCGGAGTGAGGCTCAGCTGCTCGCGCAGTGGCGACTGCCTCTTTCCTTTCTTATTTCCGAAATAAAGTCTAGGGGAGTGGAAGCGGTAACGTTGGCTCAGGACCGTCGTGCTGTTGCCCTTTGGAAAGCTTTAAATGGTTTTAAGAAATCTCTTTCCCAGGCGAGATGACTTGGCGAAGTTCCCTCCGCAGAGCCATGGAGGACCACACTCTTGTTCAGGGTATGGCTGCCTGCCTGAAGCCATAAAGAACAATGAGAAGTAAGTCGAGGTCGGACGCAGGGCCGCCTCGGTCCTGGCCAGCTTCTGAGGACGGTGCCCAAGTCCAGCGAATCCCTCACTGCTGGGGTAGCCGCGGGACGCCTGGGCTTCTCCTTAAAAATATGTCGCCAATAAAAAGAAAGGACCCGGCTCTTTAAAAACTGGGGCTCCTTGCTTAATTAGCGTAATTACCGTGTGCAGGTCCCGTGGACCCCACAGAAAAGAGGCAGTGAGGGGCTGGAGTGGCCTCAGCAGCCCCTGCCTTGGACCTGTGCGGACTAGTACCACGGGCACTGAAAGGAGCACGACCTGGAATACCAGTGTTTTCACGTGCTTCGGTTCATTTCTTAGTGAAAGACTCAATTTCTTCCAAGGCTTTTGGCTCAACAGCTAAGAGTGGGTCCTGTGGTGTTGTCATTTGTTCATTGTAATTTATCATGTATGAGATTTTAAGTACAAACATGGAAAGTGGCTTCGCAATTTTAAAAATACGAATTATCCATCCCTCAGTAGAAAATATAAAATCAGATGACATCATATGGCACGGCACTCAAAATACGTGAAAATGTTGAGTTTAATTTGTTCACATCTGGTTAAAATAAAATTGCTTTTTTTTTGTAGTGTAAACTCTGAGTAAAGCACATCTTGCTTCCATCCAATAGATAGGAGTGGAACTGGTGTCACCTTTGACGTGATCCATAAAGCGTGTACTTCCAGTCCCCTTGCCTTTTAAGAATTTTGGCACCCCCGAAAGTCAGGGTTTAATGTATTGAAGAATTATACTATAAATGGCTATTTCCTTTGTACTGTCCTAACACCCCAGAACTCACACGATGAGCCAGGAGTTAAATCAGTATATGTCCTCCAACAAAAGAGCCTGATTATGTTGTACATATAGAAAATGGGTCGTGCCAGGAAAGTTTTTGTTTTTGTATAGCCAAAGAATAGCATGCCATAGTGTAAAAGAATGAACTTTGAGGTGTTTTTCAGATATTTCCCTCATGTCCGTAGTTCTTTTTGTCCTTCTATTCTGTTTCTAACATGTTTTAGATTACATACTTGCCATTGTTTCCATGTGATTACTTTGCACTGTGATTTAAATCTATGCTAGTATACACTTTCCCACAGAGGCTGGGAGTCTGCTTTTGTTTGAACTGTTGGCTTGCTTCTCTTAATTCAAATCTTTGCCAAATACAAACTGCAAATTGATATACCAAAATGTGGAAGTAGTGAAGTACTTTGGTTCAAACAGAACTGCTAGATTTTAGGTTGGATGGCAAGAACACTAGCTTCCTCAGCATAATGTTGATTTTTTTTTTTTTTTTAACCAGGCTAACAGACGGCTTATGCTCAGTCTTTCAGCCACTTCTTACTGATGAGCAGTCTCTGACACTCACTTTTTCGTCACACAGTTGCCTCTCCCTGATGGGAAGAGCACGGGCACCAGTGGAGTGTCTCCACAGCCATGACCCCTCGACCACCAGCGCCTTCCAACAGACCCTTGTCACAAGTCTGCCATGGCAGCACGGGGTCTGCTCCCGTCTCCTAGAGCACTTAGAATGTTTCTGCTTCTTGTCCAGTTCTTATCCACTACCATTCAGTTGTCAGTTCTCGTGATGACAGAGTCCACATTACTCATATTTGGATTCTTAACACTTCGCACATTTTTGTACTTAGCTTTGGCCACTGAAAATAATTAGTGCAGAAGTGCATTTCACTGTATTTCATCGGCCAAAGAGCTGCTGTGTAATTGTTCATTAAACTATTACAATTAAACATCTGCCTCGATATTTTTGCCCAACTTCCAAAATATGTCTTTATTGTGCTATAAAAATTGGATAAAACTACTATAACACTGCCAGTGATCAGAGAAGTATTCTCTATTTTTATTTTTAAGCACAAGTTTTACTTAATAAAATATCCAATTTTGTAGTAAAGGCTCAAATTTGATTGAATGAGTCTCAGTCATTAAAGGCTAAAGGAGAAGGGAAAATGGGAAGGGGAGGGGAAAGGAAATAAGGGAAAAGAAAAAAGTCTAAAAATGGAAACAAAGTCTTTTTAAATAGAGAAGGGATGACGGGAGAGGAGGGGAAAGGGGAAAAAACAGACAGGATACATCACGGAAAGGCGCAAGGTCCCAACGGTGAGTGGAGCTGTATTGTTTGCCTTAAATGTACCAGTAAACTTAATAGGGGGAAAAAACTTCAATGATCGGGAACTTTTTAAAAACATGTTTGGAATGATTACAAAGTAACCCAATTTTCCACCAGGTTTTAGGATACCTTTGCATTTTTCTCTCCACCTCTTTTTCTATGTACGTACCTCCTTTATCATCTACTTCTTTAGATCAGTGTGTCTTTATGTCCCTAACCAGGCACAAATAGGAATTTCCCACTCTTCGTTTCAGAGCTTTCCTACGGCTATTTCTTCACTGATGGTTATTCCTCATCCCACCCCCCCACACTTCGGTATTTCTTCCTTCCTCTCTTCTTGGACCAACTTAGAGCCTTTACAGTGTGGCAAACTGCCCAAGCAGGTGGGTGGGCTAGGGCACACACAGAAAAACAGTTCCAGAAGCCTTTTGCCTGAAACCAATCAGAAAATGCTATCTTCAATTCTTGCAAGAAGGAGAACCCAAGCAGAGGCGGGAATGGGGACACAAAAGATGGTGGCCAATGTTTTCTTGGCCATTGGGCTCTTTCTTTCACAGTGGTCCACTTTCACCCTGTAGTGTACTTCTTCTCCTACATTTTTTTTTTTTTTTTTTTTTTTTTTTTGGGTAAAAATCGGTGCTCGCGACACTTATGTTCCAAGGGTAGAAATTAGTCAGTAAACAAGGAAATGAATAAATGATAACTTCATCAAAGCAAGTAGTATAAAGAAAATAAATCAGGGTTTTGCCCATTTTTTGTTTTTTATGGTTTTTTTTGGTACTGGGGATTGAACTTGGGTCCTTGGGCTTGCAAGGCAGGTGCCAGAACCATTGAGCTAAGTCCCCAGTCTTTTCCTACTTTTAATTGGCCCTCACTTGCTCTGCAGAGAATGTTTCTTTTCCTATATTTAATAAATGCAAAATCTCCCTTCCTTTTCTACTTGTCTTGAGTGATTCTTTGTTTGAGACAGAACCTAGAAAGCATCTCTCCAGCACCCCCAGAACCAGTAACACTTCACTATAGCTATAACTGAGGAGGGAGATGAAGTTCGAATTGAACAGCTTAGTTGCTTATCATATAGCAAGCAGCTTTAATAAAAGATTTGGTATAGAAGAACTCTCAGGGATGGTTAATCTGATTCCCCAAGATTATCCTGAGATTCCAATTAATCCGATCACTCTGCTTTCCCCAGTGTAATAGCTCATTTGAAGTTATACTTGTATTTTTAAATGGAAACAGACAATATCCAAAAGTACAGTTAACTGAATGTCTTGTGTTCTGAGGCAGCCTGGGGCAAAAATACAGAGAATATCCACAAGAGAATAAGGAGATTTTTGTACATCGTTTGGGGACTAGGATCTTTCCCCTGTGCTCCTCTCCCCTAAAGAGTTACCAGCATAGGGCACAATGAATCTGTGAAACTTCTAGACGACAAAGTGAGTCCATGCATCCCAAACAGC